CCAAACCCCAGATAAATCCTATTCTTTACTCATCTGTCTAAAGGAATCCCTGGGCAAGGAAAACCAAAGCTGCCACTTGAAATGTAACAGTCCCGGGTGTAGAGATAGCAAGGTTTCCCACCTAAATGCTCTCTACCCTTTCTGACCCGGGGGGTGCAGGTGTACTCACTGAGTCCTTCTCCTGAGCTGCTGTTGGGTAGATGGCTGCTACTAGGCCTATCCTTCCCTGCCACCAGGTGGTCCTTCTTTCTAGGGGGCCAGTGAAGTCCACAGCTTTCTTCGTTTCAAGGTTTCCTCTGTCTGGAGGTGAGCCCCTTCTAACCTGGGCTCCCTCCTAGGCTCCTGCATCTCCACCTCACTTCCATCTTCCACCCGCACTCTCCTGCTACTGAGCAGGCTCTCTTACTTTTAAGGGTTGGCCTGGCCCCTTTCCAACCTCCTGTTGGGGATTGGCCAGGTTCCCTCAAGAGTACAGGCCAACCACTCTTCATATCCACCCACTGCCTCTATGGCTTTCCTCCAAAGCCCTAGAGCAGGTGGAAATATCAGAAGGGCTGACTTGCAGAGTCATTACACCTGGGCTGCTGCTCAGCCCCTATCTAACTATTGGAGTCTAGCTCCCCTAGCTACCTAGGAGGGTGCTACATAATGATAAGGATATCAATCTGAAAGACTAACTTTAAGTCATCTACCAAAGATCAAGTTTCAGTAGGCAAAGAAACTGGGATCCACTGTTTAATGTCAAGACTTTCAGAAGGTCTAAAATGCACGCATGGGAATTAATGGGAAAGGAGGAATAAATTATAATTACGCATTTGGATGTCACTAGATCTCACAACTTCACACGCTTCCAATAACACCCATGGATTTCAGAGTACAGGCTTATACTCAAAAGTCCATTAGAATGAATGGACGCGCTCTGCAAATACTCTGAAGTTTTGGTTTCAAAGCGCTTTGATGGCACTCTGAAGGAGTTCAGCCATGACATCATGCAGTACCTTCCATAGAGCCCCATAGTTTGCATCTTTTGAGTGCACACAGCGTAACAGTTTACAAGAATTTTGGTTATTTTACTCTGATAAAGATCCTCATATTTTCTATCCTTGTACAATGTTGCTGTTGACCTTCCGTGGCTCTAGATATTGACCACAATATCAAGTTCAAAGACTAACTTTAACCCATCTATGAAACTGCTTGAGATCAACTTTCAGCAGTCAAAGAAACATGGCTCCACTGTTCACTGTCAAGACTTTCAGAAGGTCTGAAATGGCCCTGATGCGACGTGTAATAATTAGTAATTTTGTCCTCTCAGATCTCCTCTTTTGTTCCTGCGGACACTTTGATACACGGAGAGCGACATATTGATATCCAATCCAGCCGCCTTTCTTTCTTTTGTTCCTCACTTTGTTTTACGATCTTTGAAGTTTGGAGCCCCCCCGTGTGCACTCCTAAAAAGACCATCTTGCAGTAAGCGTGCTTTCCCTGTCACGTCTTTTATCCACATTTGCTAAAAATAATTCTGTCTGATCCAGAGTTCCTGTTTTATTTTTGCTGCCTTTATTGAAGGATGACTTTGAAGTGAACAAAAATGTCAGTTTTTATGTTAAGAGAATATCCTATTTCAGGGCCTAAATTTATTATCTTCTGATTGATAGTAAAATAATTTTCTCAAATATATTTAACAAATGGTCTCTTTCAGAACGTTAGTCATGTGTTCCCTCATGAAGGCCTTTTATTAAAGACTACATGACCAATGCTTCACCATAACCTTACATAACCGACTCCAGGCAGGTTCACAAGATCACGGGGAAAAGTTAGATATTTGACATCTGTAGCCACTCTGTCATCAGAGGTGTCTAGTAAATTTGGCTTTCCTGGTTAGTAGTTTGGCTAGGCCAGTTTATAATCTTTCACTTGATTTCTCTTGGTTGAGGGTTGTTGCTGTATCCTGCTGCTGCCATTGGGTGTCAATGCCACTTACGGCAATAGTCACGGGGGTGGTAACAATCCTGGGCTAATGAGCATTTATTCCCCTCTGGCAACCACTTGGAGATTCATGGCCATGCTATGAGTAAGGCCACAGTGGCTAAAACATGTTAACAATGTTTTACTGGATGTACTTGTGTAGCCAATAAAGATGTTCAACTTTTGGGTCCACCGAGTTGCAGGCTTATATTTATCTACATTTAAAGTATTGAGGGACCACAAGAATTGGTTTTCAGCCTTGGATAGCATTACCAGCAGTTGAGCGTGGGTATTGTGTTCAGCTGTTCATGGCCAGTGGTGCATGCTGGGAGATGCAATACATGCTTGGGATTTGGCCTGGTAAGCTCTCTTCCCCCTGGACTGTGGCCTGGGGAGGTTTGTGTGATGTATTGTTTTGAATAGGCCAGAACCTGGTTAGGGCCTAGCTCAGAGTCCTCAAGCTGGCCTGCCTGGTCATGGAGGGTACAGCACCCAAAGTAGTAGAGGCAGCGGATGGATGTGTAATAAAAGGGAATTGGTGATATATCTGTAAACTGGCATCCATTTTATATAAAGCCTCCATTTCAGATATGTAACAGCTCAAGTTTCATTTCTAGGAATTGTTTTCATTTCTGTGTAAACGGAATATGGTACTCCTCAGCCATTTGAAGTTTTCTGTTCTTCACGTATCTACATTCATAAGAGTATAATGTTTCATTGGTTATCCTGACTGGAAATGCCTGTTGAGTTTTTATGTAATATTTCTTGTCTTGCATTAAACTTTCAGAGATACAGCTTTTACACTTTTGTGTCTGGAGCTTTATTTCTCCCGGGTCGGTGGTGAAAATAATCGAGGACAGGTTGGACTACAGACAGAAATGGATCCTATCAGTCCTCAGAGGATCCTAACACTCCTTTGGATGCAGGAGAAAACCTAGTTGAGTCTGGAACCCTGTTGCTGGAGGAATCCAAGACCCTAACCCTGGTTTAGGAAGGTGCATCAGTCGAGGTAGTAGAGCCAGAGGATGTAAGTCCTGCTGGAGGGGGATTGGTTTCTGCCCTCAGAGGATCCTGGCAATCCCAAGGATGGAAGATAAAATCTGGGTGAGTCTGGAGCACTGTTGCTGGAAGAGACCAAGTCCCTAACTCTGATCGAGGAGGGTACAGCAACCAAGGTAGTAGAGCCAGAGGATGGTGTTGGGGATGCGACAGCATGTACTATATACAGTATTGTGTGTTAATATCACTTGACCAGTAGATGACACTGTACACTAAGGTTACAAGTTGTGCATATCTGTAAAACTTGTTGGTTCTTTTTCTTTTCTCTCTCTACAGAACCAAGATGTCTGCTGTTACAGTTTGCTGAAATGTTTTGTATGTTTGCAACTTAAGCCACACACGTAAACCAAGTTCTGCCTCATCACAAGCTACAGTGTCTTCCCTAACACATAACCAACAGATGGAAGGCCTGCTGGAGTGGGATTGGGGCCCACCCTCAGAGGATTCTGACACTCTCTTAGATGGAGGAGAAGGTCTGTCTGGGTCTGGAACCCTATTGCTGGAGAAGGCAAAGACCCTAACCCACTCTCCATTTAAGCCAGAGCATAAAAAACTTGAAGAAAAAGACTAAAGTTATTGGTGCCCATCATTGTCATGACCATCTTCACTGCAGCCATGGATCCACCCTGGGGTAATGTCAGCTCTTTCTCTGTGCTGAAGGCACGTTTTTCTTTATCCCAGCAGGAGTGTTGCTACATACCTGTACCTTTTTATGTTTTTATTTTTATTTTTTCCAGCAACCAGTGTAGTTAGTCATCTGAGATTTCTGCTGGTGAGCGGGCAATCATTTAAATGAACCTGATGGTGACTTAGGAAAACTATGACCTTCTACTTTCTAGCTCCCTGGTCTCCACCTCCTACGCCCGACTGCAGGACTTCTCCAGGACTTCCCCCATCCTCTGGAACTCACTACCCCAATCCATCAGACTGTCACCTACCCTCCTCACCTTTAGGCGCACCCTGAAAACCTATCTCTTCAGGGAAGCCTACCCCACCCTCACCTAACAGCCGATCTCCTCCTACCACTCCATCCCCCACAGCCACTTCCTCCTGTACCACTATCCTTTCCCTCCTAGATTGTAAGCTCGAAAGAGCAGGGCCCTCGAACCCCTCGTGTATTGTATTGTTACTGTATTGTCTCATGTACTGTCCCCCACTATAATGTACAGCGCTGAGCAAACCTTTTAGCGCTATATAAACACTGTATAATAATAATAATAATAATCTAAAGACTATCACTTTGACCATTTAGAGCAAAGGAACAGGTTCCTTTGATTGGACATTACCTGCCCCCCACACACACACGCACAACCCATCAACACATACTCACTTTTGCTGTGCTCCCCTTCAGTTCCATTCAAACCCTTGACACCATTAAATGTAAACAGCTAGACCACTTTCACATGGGCAATGCTGGTATTTGAAGAAAGATTTAACATTATCTATTAGACATGGATGTGATACAGCCCCATTCACTTCTATGAGACGTTTTGGCAGGCAGTATTGCCTACTAAACATGCTGGAGTTGATTTACTAAAACTGAAGAGTGCTAAATCTGGTGCAGCTGTGCATGGTAGCCAATCAGCTTCAAACGTCAGCTTGTTCAATTAGGCTTTGGCAAAAAAACCTGGATTGGAGCTGATGTTTGTGCTTGTACCCACCAGACATTTACTATATTTTTCGCTCCATAAGACGCACCTAGTTTTAGAGGAGAAAAATAAGAAAAAAAATATTCTGAACCAATGGACTGCAGACGTAGTACAGGAAATGACCAGAGACTGCAGGACACAGTACAGGAGATGACCAGAGACTGCGGACACAGTACAGGAGAGACCAGAGACTGCGACATAGTAGGAGATGACCAGAGACTGCAGACATAGTACAGGAGATGACCAGAGACTGAGACACAGTACAGGAGATGACCAGAGACTGCAGACACAGTACAGGGGATGACCAGAGATTGCAGACACAGTACAGGAGATGACCAGAGACTGCGGACATACAGTACAGGAGATGACCAGAGGCTGCAGACACAGTACAGGAGATGACCAGAGACTGCAGACACAGTACAGGAGATGACCAGAGACTGCGGACACAGTACAGGAGAGGACCAGAGACTGCAGACATAGTACAGGAGATGACCAGAGATTGCAGACATAGTACAGGAGATGACCAGAGACTGCGGACACAGTACAGGAGATGACCAGAGACTGCAGACATAGTACAGGGGATGACCAGAGATTGCAGACACAGTACAGGAGATGACCAGAGACTGCGGACACGGTACAGGAGATGACCAGAGACTGCGGACACGGTACAGGAGATGACCAGAGACTGCGGACACGGTACAGGAGATGGCCAGAGACTGCGGACACGGTACAGGAGATGACCAGAGACTGCGGACACGGTACAGGAGATGACCAGAGACTGCGGACACGGTACAGGGGATGACCAGAGACTGCGGACACGGTACAGGAGATGACCAGAGACTGCGGACACGGTACAGGGGATGACCAGAGACTGCGGACACGGTACAGGAGATGACCAGAGACTGCGGACACGGTACCAGAGATGACCAGAGATTGCGGACACGGTACAGGGGATGACCAGAGACTGCGGACACGGTACAGGAGATGACCAGAGACTGCGGACACGGTACAGGGGATGACCAGAGACTGCGGACATGGTACAGGAGATGACCAGAGACTGCGGGCACGGTACAGGAGATGACCAGAGACTGCGGACACGGTACAGGAGATGACCAGAGACTGTGGACACGGTACAGGAGATGACCAGAGACTGCGGACACGGTACAGGAGATGACCAGAGACTGCGGACAGAGTACAGGAGATGACCAGAGACTGCGGACGCAGTACAGGAGATGACCAGAGACTGCGGACGCAGTACAGGAGATGACCAGAGACTGCGGACGCAATACCGGGTCGGCCGCTCCATATTCGCTCCATAAGACGCACAGAGATTTTTCCCCATTTTTTTGGGGGGAAAAAAGTGAATCCTTTGGAGCGAAAAATACGGGATATAGATTTATCTGGTACTGAAAACAATTATGCAATTTAGTAATGCTGACATGGGCCGTAATAATTGTATTTTAATAACAGGTTCCCTTTAACTACGCCGATATGTGTCAGCTTTCATGGCGGACAGGTTTCTTGTGTGCTGAGAGACGGGTTTTTGCACAGAATGTTAATCAGGTTTTCTGTGGTCTGGTTGGGCTTTGAACAAGCGTGTGACCATCACTTCAGAGAAAAGAAGAAGTCGGATAATTGAACACAGCAACCAATAGATGGCCTCTAGATTGAAACAAATTGAGAAATTAAACAAGAAGAACATTCCCCCATAGAATCCTCTACCGTCATGTATACGTCTTCCTCTTATCACACGCGGACACGCTGGCGCGAGGCTCAAAACAAATTAGGTTGACTGAAGAGTTCGCACCCACTGCTGGGAAACGGCTCGTCTGACGGCTCAGCTGCCTCTTCTGATTCATTTTCTTGCTCTGAGCACCTGTTAATAATTACCAGAAGCTGAATCCATTTCTATTTTCTATGATCCCGATTCCCTGTGTTCTCTATGTCCCGTGTTCCCCATGTTCTCTATGTCCTGTGCTCCCCATGTTCTCTATGTCCTGTGTTCTTTGTGTCCTGTGTTCCTTGTGTTCTCTGTGTCACATTTCCCTGTGTTCTCTATGTCCCGTGTTCCCCATGTTCTCTATGTCCTGTGCTCCCCATGTTCTCTATGTCCTGTGTTCTTTGTGTCCTGTGTTCCTTGTGTTCTCTATGTCCCGTGTTTCCTGTGATCTCTGTGCCCTGTGTTCTCTGTGTCCTGTGTTCCTTGTGTTCTCTATGTCCCGTGTTTCCTGTGATCTCGGTGTCCTGTGTTCTCTGTGTTCTTTGTGTCCTGTGTTCCTTGTGTTCTCTGTGTCACATTTCCCTGTGTTCTCTATGTCCCGTGTTCCCCATGTTCTCTATGTCCTGTGCTCCCCATGTTCTCTATGTCCTGTGTTCTCTGTGTCCTGTGTTCCTTGTGTTCTCTATGTCCCGTGTTTCCTGTGATCTCTGTGTCCTGTGTTCTCTGTGTCCTGTGTTCCTTGTGTTTCTCTATGTCCCGTGTTTCCTGTGATCTCTGTGTCCTGTGTTCTCTGTGTCCTGTGTTCTTTGTGTTCTCTACGTCCCGTGTTTCCTGTGATCTCTATGTCCTGTGTTCTCTGTGTCCTGTGTTAGTTGTGTTTTCTACATCCCGTGTTCCCTGTGTTCTCTATGTCCTGTGTTTCCTATGTTCTGTGTTCCCTGTGTCCTCTATGTCCTGTGTTCCCCATGTTCTCTATGTCATGTGCCCCCCATGTTCTTTATGTCCTGTGTTCCCTGTGTTCTCTATCTTCTATGTTCTGTGTTCTCAATGTCTTTTTGTCCCCCATGTTATCTGTATGCTGTGTCCCCCATGTTCTCTATGTCCTGAGTTCCCTGTGTTCTCTTTGTTCTATGTTTGTGTTCTCTATGTCCTTTGTCCCCCATGTTATTATATGTCCTGTGTTTCCTGTGTTCTCTATGTCATGTGTTCCCTGTGTTCTCTATGTTCTGTGTTCCCTGTGTTCCTTGTGTTCTCTGTGTCACATTTCCCTGTGTTCTCTACGTCCCGTGTTTCCTGTGATCTCTGTGTCCTGTGTTCTCTGTGTCCTGTGTTCCTTGTGTTCTCTATGTCCCGTGTTTCCTGTGATCTCTGTGTCCTGTGTTCTCTGTGTCCTGTGTTCCTTGTGTTCTCTATGTCCCGTGTTTCCTGTGATCTCTATGTCCTGTGTTCTCCGTGTCCTGTGTTCCTTGTGTTCTCTACGTCCTGTGTTTCCTGTGATCTCTATGTCCTGTGTTTTCTGTGTCCTGTGTTCCATGTGTTTTCTACGTCTCGTGTTCCCTGTGATCTCTATGTCCTGTGTTCTCTGTGTCCTGTGTTAGTTGTGGTTTCTACATCCCATGTTCCCTGTGCTCTCTATGTCCTATGTTTCCTATGTTCTGTGTTCCCTGTGTCCTCTATGTCCTGTGTCCCCCATGTTATCTATATCCTGTGTCCCCCATGTTCTTTATGTCCTGTGTTCCCTGTGTTCTCTATGTTCTATGTTCTGTGTTCTCGATGTCCTTTGTCCCCCATGTTATCTGTATCCTGTGTCCCTCATGTTCTCTATGTCCTGTGCTCCCTGTGTTCTCTATGTTCTATGTTTCTGTGTTCTCTATGTCCTTTGTCCCCCATGTTATCTATGTCCTTTGTTTCCTGTTTCTCTATGTTCTGTGTTCCCTGTGTTCTCTATGTTCTGTGTTCCCTGTGTTCTCTATGTTCTGTGTTCTCTATGTTCTGTGTTCCCTATGTACTTTATGTCATGTGTTTGCCATGTTCTCTATGTCCTGTGTTCTCTATATTCTCTATGTCCTGTGTTCCCTGTGTTCTCTATGTTTTGTGTTCTCTATGTTTTGTGTCCCCTGTGTTCTCTATGCCCTGTTTTCCACATGTTCTCTATGCCCTGTGTTCCCCATGTTCTCTATTTCCTGTGTCCCCCATGTTCATTAAGTCCTGTGTTTCCCTTGTTTTCTGTGTTCTGTGTTTTCTATGTCCTTTGTCCCCCATGTTATCTATGAGCTGTGTTCACCATGTTCTCTATGTCTTGTGTCCCTTGTGTTTTCTATATCCCATGTTCCCTGTGTTCTCTGTGTTCCCTTTGTCCTGTGTCCCCCATGTTCTCTATGTCCTGTGTTCCCTATGTTCTCTTTGTCATGTGTCCCCCATATTCTCTATGTTCTGTGTCCCCTGTGTTCTTCATGTCCAGTGTTCCCCATGTTCTCTATGTCCTGTGCCCCCATGTTCTCTATGTCCTGTGTTCCCTATGTCGCTATGTCCTGCATTCCCTATGTTCCCTTTGTTCCCTATGAGACTTTGTCAGGATATTATACATGGAGACTTTGTCAGGATATTATACATGGAGACTTTGTCAGGATATTATTAGTGGAGACTTTGTCAGGATATTATACATGGAGACTTCGTCAGGATATTATTCATGGAGACTTCATCATTATTTAAAAACGTGGAGATTTCGTCAGGATATTATTCGTGGAGACTTCATCAGGATATTATACGTGGAGACTTCGTCAGGATATTATACGTGGAGACTTTGTCAGGATATTATACACTTTGTCAGGATATTATACCTGGAGACTTTGTCAGGATATTATAGATGGAGACTTTGTCAGGATATTATATGTGGAGACTTTGTCAGGATATTATAGATGGAGACTTTGTCAGGATTATATACCTGGAGACTTTGTCAGGATATTATAGATTGAGACTTTGTCAGGATATTATCAGGAGACTTCGTCAGGATATTATACGTGGAGACTTTGTCAGGATATTATACGTGGAGACTTTGTCAGGATATTATACATGGAGACTTTGTCAGGATATTATAGATGGAGACTTTGTCAGGATATTATACATGGAGACTTTGTCAGGATATTATACATGGAACTTTGTCAGGATATTATACGTGGAGACTTTGTTAGGATATTATACATGGACACTTTGTCAGGAAATTATACATGGAGAGTTTGTCAGGATATTATACGTGGATTTGTCAGGATATATACATGGAGACTTTTAAAATTACTGTAGTCAACTTTGCCAAGCCACTTCAAGAAATAAGTGCCACTTCATCAGGTTTCTAATGTTTTTTTTAGTGGCAGACATGTTAAGTTTCAGCGTTTTTACATGTAAAAGCTCACAAACTGTTGCTTTACCTCGTTTCGTCCTTTCATACACAACCCGACAGAAAGGCACATCATGTAACTTTTCGGTGATGAGAAATTGCTTTTTAATGTGATTACAGAATCCAATATTTGAATCTGCAGGCAGGATCGGGTTATTGTACCCAGAGAATTGCCGTCTCCTTCACACTAAAGCCTTGATAATACGCAGAGGCGTACGTTATTTTGTCAGCATAAAAGAATTTGTAACTTTGGGACACAATAGAAGCTCTTACATATTGATTGATTCATTTTAACAGATTGTGAAAGTGCAGCCTCTCGCTAGGAGAGAAGATTGCATTGGGCTACAAACATTAATATCTGCAGTTTATTTGATATATATATAAGAATTCTGTCTGATTGCTTTTGTTGCAGAATTCGTATTCTCGGCTGGAGTGTGAAAGAACAAAACAAACTTAGCCCATTCCTAACATATAGACTATCTGGCTTATTGGAAGTGAAATTCTATTTTTATAGCTCAGAAAAGATGACAGACTTTCAATGTACACCTCTATTTTATATGAGTATACACTTAATGACAGACTTATTAAATGCACCAATTTAATAACTTGTAGGGTTTAATTTTTCTACAGCACCGCTACAGTTTGTTACTGTAAAGATTCAATAAAATGTTAGAAACATCAAAGAAGAAGTATTACCTCCACGTAGGAATTGTTGTTGAATCCCCCCAGGAGACCAAGAACATTTGGTCCTGTCCTGATCCATGTTGTTGATGCTGAGCTAGAA